CTGGGCTGTTACATAATAAATCTACGGTCAAAATTTTAATTTAAGCCAATTTGTAGTTAATGAGTAATAGTCATTGAGTGCAAAAATTAAGAGAAATGCTATAGATACATAATATTATACATAGGGGTGTACATAACACTCACATTGAGTGAGACTCACCAAAAATAAAAAATCAAGTGGACCCCACTCCATGTGAGTGTTATGTACACCTCTATGTACATTTATTATGTACTTGTAGCATTTTTCAAAAATTAATTATGTTTTTCATGCATAAAATTTTTTCTAATAAATTAATATAAATTAAATACAAATATAGACAAAAAAAATTTCCGCCCAAAATCATGCTAATTATGGCAATAAGAATTAGCATATTATATAGATTATATAAATAAATATAGATGGAATAAATTATAATTTATTTAATTTATAATACAATTGTAATAATTTTTTTTTAGTATCGGTGGATCCTGGAAGGGCAATGTCAACCGCTCACTAGGGGTGGGACCGGTCCAGTTCTTATGTAATTTTTGAAGAACCGGAATAGTATTTTCAAGGATAGTTGCAGTTCGGTTTGTCTATAGAAATTTTGAGGAACCTGTTGATACCAAATTTTGGCCTAGCCTATTAAAATATTACACGTGGATATGTATTATATCAATTATTTTATTTTTGGGCCTTAAATAATACCGCTTGTGATAATATCGGGCCCATTAAACATATATATAAATACCCCGATGATGGACATCATCGAGATAGGTCTGAGGGGGCTATTATTATTTTTCTGATCTTATCTGAGAGAGGGGAGGCGGTGCTGCAGAGGAAATCTTTTCCTCCTGCTTTTCTTTTTGGCCTGCTTCATCTCCTTCATATGCTGTTCATACAAAAACACAGCTTCTTTTTCAATATTTCATGATTTATTCATAAAAAATCCAATACAAAAAATACACAATAAATTCCTCTGAACCCCCCATGTTGATCAAATTTCGAGCATCAACAGTTTGGCGCTAGAGGAAGGGCCCGTAATTTGCTCGGGTTAACCTTCATCCGAAAACGGCCGCTTTGCAGACGATCAATTCAAACAATAGCATCAAGAATGAAAAATGACAACAGAGAAATAGCAAAAACGCAGCAACATTTTTGCGGAAGAAGCAAAAAAAAAAAAGAAAAAGGAAGAAGCATGGCAAGAGGCCAAGCATCGCCGGAGGAAGGCTATAACTCCGGCCACAACCACCACGCAGCTGCTGTCTTGCCACCACCGGAGAAAGATCAAGGGAGAGGGAAGAATAGAGTTGCAGTCAACAACACTTCGTCGGGGCCATCTATAAACCGACATAGCATAGTCGGGGCATCGCCATCTCCAACCTTTGACCGCCGACACACACCCACAGTTGTGGGACCGAGTTCAAACTTCATCACAGACTGATGGGGCCAAACTCGGAAAACCGACCTTACCGAGATCCGACTTTGCCATGGTCAACTGACGTCATCACAGTCAATCGACTAAATCATGACCGACTTCCATGTCGTCACCCAACCTCAACACAAATAGCCGGAACCGACTGTACAATAAACATCGAGCTCCGACGTGAATCAATCAACAATCGACTTCAATTTCATTGGCCGACTTCAATCAACGGCGCACGAGCTCGGATCTCGGAAATCGTAGATGGGCTTACCTCGGCGACCCCGACCTCAAAAATCGCCAACTTTACTTGTGTTGCGACCCCGACATCCTCGACATCAATATCTCGGTTCCATCGCAAATTGGAAGCGACTTCAACAATAACCGAGACCGACTTCGCGAGTTAATCTCATCACCAACTTCCGACCTCAATTGTCGGATTTCTAATTTTTACCGAGGTCCGACTTAATTACACCTCGGCCATCCCCGAACCGACTTCAAATAATGGGTCCGAACAGCCACAGGCCCGACCTCGAAACGCGAATTCAGTCATAGAGGCCAAATTTTTTACAGCCCGGCCGATTTCCCAAGCAATACCGACTTCCCCGTCGGAACCGAGATCTCGACTTCCTTGGATGTGGCGACTTCGTCAGGCCCGACCTCCTTTATCCGATCTCATAAGCCGCTGGGGAATATTCCGACATACTACCCAAACTTTTGATTTGCCGCCGGATCCCCAATCGGTTATCGGATCTAACAAATCGCAAACGATTCACCTCGCTCTCTCCGACTGACACCATAGTTGTTGAGCCGACTACCGACTTCACCATCGCCGGACCAGCACCGATATCTTCAGCCGCAACTAACGTCATAATCTCTGGCCAGTACCACCGACATGGAGGTTTGACCTCGCGATAAACAACCGATCATGAAATTGCGGCCGAACTTTCGATTTCTGTAACTAGACCGCAAATCCCCAACGATCGGGAGGAGAAAGAAGCGGCCTGTCGTAGTTTATTCGGCGATAAAAGAATAAAAGAAGAGGAGAGAGAAGAGAATAGTAGCGGTGGATAAAAGACAAAGGGAAAGAAATTAAACCCATATAGATATATAAGCATATTGGACCTATTCAAGATGTGGCCCAAGTTACAAGTAAAGTTGGGCCTCACAGCAGATAAATATCAAACACCGACAACTTTGTGTGGGCTAGGAGTATGGGCTGCTCAAACAAAATAATGAATCGGGGCCGAATTCATTTATCGATACTGGGGCCGAATTTATTCATTTCTGCCTAAACTGACGTCTTATTATTGCTCGCCGTGAGCCACGACTCCAGCTGAGCCGACGTCTTATTATTGCTCGCCGTGAGCCACGACTCCGGCTGAGCCGACGTCCTATTATTGCTCGCCGTGAGCTTTGACTCCGGCAGAGCTGATATCTACATTTTCACGCCGTTGAGCCTCGACTCCGACTAAGTTAATGCATATATTACCTTGTCGTTGAGCTTTTGCTCCGACTGAGAGGGCTTCTACATTTACCTCGCCGTTGAGCCTCTGCTCCGGATGATCCCACACTGGTTAGGCAAAGTCAATAAGACCTTTCCGGCTGGGCAACATTAAAATACGTCGGCACAATAAAAAGCCGAATCTCGAAAAATAATTCGGCTAGCCGACTCTTAAAAATTAGTCGGAAATAAAAATTCCCGACGTTCCTTTAAAAATTCAGCGAGTAAAATAAAATGCTGAATATTTTAGTCGGAAATAAAAATTCCCGACGTTCCTTTAAAAATTCAGCGAGTAAAATAAAATGCTGAATATTTTAGTCGGAAATAAAAATTGCCGACGTTCCTTTAAAAATTCAGCAAGTAAAATAAAATGTTGATATTTTAGTCGAAAACAAAAAATACCGACGTTCCTACATATACAATATTCCGGTAAGGCAGAGCACCTACCGGCAGACAAAGTCAGACTCGACAAAATATCGAGGTAACATTATTTTTCGTGCGTTAATCATTTATTGCACGAAATCATCATATAATCACACATTCATACGTTCATACGCGCGTCATACATGCATCTTGACATAAACATAAAAAGTCAAGCAAAAATATCCTTAAGGACTCACGCTGGTGCAATGTAAGACCTTACTGGCAGGGATCATTAAATTCCTTAAGGACCCACACTGGTTAGGCAAAATCAATAAGACCTTTCCAGCTGAAAAAAAAAAAAATTAATTAAGAAATAAAAACCCACACTGGTTAGGCAAAGTCCATAAGACCTTTCCGGCTGGGCAAAATGCAAAAGGAAAAATTTTACACCGAGTTCTTCATCTCGGTAAAATAAAAATAATTCGGTTGGTCGACGTCGGCACAATAAAAAGGCCGAATCTCGAAAAAGCATTCGGCTAACCGATGTCGGCACAGTAAAAAAGCCGAATATAAATGAAAAAATAATAAGAAAATCTTTTCCAAACCCTGAAGTTGGTTTGGCAAGGCTAACGCCTTACATATTACCTCAAAGATCGGGAACACACTGCCCGACCGAGAAATAATTAAACAAAAATAAAAGACCGAAGACCGGATACCGAATTATCCGATCAGGTCCACATAGTAAAGAAAAACAATCACGAATCAAATAAAAAATCGCGTCGTCTCAATACGACAGAATCGCGAGTCCGGTAACAATTCCGGGGGCCCGAGTGCCCACATAATTCTATATCATTATTACCACATCAAATGCTTCGCGTTCCACGCAAAAAACGCGAAAGACTGGTACCAAATTGCCCGACTAGGCCATCCAGGCCTCATTCAAAAATTCCAGGAAAATTTACTATCCACGTCATTGGCTCCATGGGTTTCAAATTACCCGGCCAACATCGATACATCATTTATTACGGCCAAAATTAATTATACACGCGATTTCAGAACAGTTCTATTCAAAACATGCCCTAAAATCGGGGGTCTACTGTTGATACCAAATTTTGGCCTAGCCTATTAAAATATTACACGTGGATATGTATTATATCAATTATTTTATTTTTGGGCCTTAAATAATACCGCTTGTGATAATATCGGGCTCATTAAACATAGATATATATACCCCGATGATGGACATCATCGAGATAGGTCTGAGGGGGCTATTATTATTTTTCCGATCTTATCTGAGAGAGGGGAGGCGGTGCTGCAGAGGAAATCTTTTCCTCATGCTTTTCTTTTTGGCCTGCTTCATCTCCTTCATATGCTGTTCATGATTTATTCATAAAAAATCCAATACAAAAAATACACAATAAATTCCTCTGAACCCCCCATGTTGATCAAATTTCGAGCATCAACAGAACCGTTGGGGAACCGAACTGTGTACATTCGGTTCGGTTCTTACGGTTCCTACGGTTCTTAATTAACCAAATGGAAATTCCAAATAAATCAGTTATAAACAAGCAACAATTAACCAAATACCACACTACAAAGCTGATACAATGTACATTTGCAGGGAAAAAAAAATCTGATACAATATACAGTAGCATAGCCAACACATGAAATTGATTCTCAAATTGACACCCACCAAACTTTATTCCTAACTAAATTTGTTGATCCGCTGAAATGGGTCCAGGCCGAATTGATGTGAGGCTCGCCGTCGTTGCGAGCGGCGACGGATGTAGGAAGGAGACAAGGGTCAAATTGATGTTTGTCCCACCGGAAGGGTTGTAGGCTACTGAAGATTCAGAGTGCAGTCCGTGGGGATGGATGGGAGGTCGCGGACGGCGTGGGAAGACTTGGCCATGGAAATTGGATATGCAGGGGAAAGGGGCTAAAGGGAAGAATTTTGGGATTTTTTTTTTTTTGTTTTTTTATTAATAATATATATATTTTGGCAGTTTGATAAATTTCTAAAAAATTTGAAGTCAAATCCCCTTCCCCTCTTAATATAATTTGAAAATGTGCTGAGCCTAAATGACTGTCTCGCAAGCTTCGGGAGCTTACTTGGCAACATTACATACTTCGACTTTTAGTTCGGATACATTCCCTAATTGTTTAAAATAAAATACTTAATAAATAAAATTTTTGCTTAATCCGATTCCCTCCAACTCCAAAATAAATAGGATTCTTATATGCCGTGTAAATCCTCCAACTCCAAAATAAATAGAATTCTTATCTTATATGCCGTGTAAATAAGATTTTATTATTTATATAATTAATGTAAACAATAACTTTTTTATATAGTTTAAATTAAAAAACATACTATAATCTTAGAAAATAAATTACACACATATATAAATTATTTAAATCTTTTTAGAATATCTATAAAAATACATTGAAATAGTAATAGAATATTAAATGATCTTTCTAATATATCTTAAAGAGTTTAAATAGTTATACAACAACATGTGTTTTTTTTATTTTTTTATGATTTATATTTTTTTTTCAACAACCCGTATAGTACACGGGTATCATATTAGTATTTGTTATTAGAGTTTAGGTTTACATTAAAGTAACCCTCGAGCTGATTGGGTCTGCTTCTAAATTGATAATTGTTGGGTTAGACTTATAAAAAGCATTTGTCTAGCATGACTAACGGTTATCTGGTTTTTTGACAGATTTTTGAAGAAAAATCGAAAATCGAAACCGAAAATGATGGCAAAATAACCGAACCGAAAATATCATGACACATTAATTATTAACCGAACCGAACTGGCTTATTTCGGTTCGATCTAGTTTGATTTTGCGGTTCTCGGTTATAAAATCCCACCCCTCTGCTCCCCGCACGCTCTACACATGTGAATCCCTCGTACCCATCCACACCAGATTTTCTACTTCCACACCGATCAATTCACTCGCCTTCCATCAGTCCATCGGGAACGCTTACTCCGGCAGCAGAATGGCTACTCCTGTTTCGACCAGCGGCGGTAGTGGCTCTCCGAGGACTGCTGCGCACGACAACGATGCCGGTGAATCCGCACGCCGCAGTCGAATTCTATCGAGCAAGCTCTACTTCGACGTGCCTACTTACAAGGTTGTCCTGCACTGTAGCTTCGCGCCGATCTTTAGTTTATTCTGTTTATGAATTTTTACTTTTCAGTTAATTTACCTCGCTTCTGATAATGTTTGTAGGTTCCTCTAATTTATTCATCTTCATACGATATCGCTTTTCTGGGGATTGAAAAGCTGTAAGTGAATTCCTTCTCTTCCTTAGTTGTACAGCTGTTTGATTAGAACTTTTAATGACTATCTCCAGCTTAGTATAAGTAATTCCTGCTGTAGCTTAGTACTATGTGGTTGGTTTCTCTGTAACTCAACAAAACTATGTGTTCAAATTGTTAATGAATAAGTCATGTGTTTGGACTATTGTTTTTTAATTCGTGTAGATTTTATCCAGAGTACTTGGTTGGCATTAATTCTTGAAAGAAAATTTTTAAAAGAATCTTTATTTGGGATTTTGGGTTCATAATCAGAAGTTTGATTCTAAGCCTCGCGCCACATGGTTGCTTGTTTACTTGTGATAAATCATGTACTACGAAAATTTCAGGCACCCTTTTGATTCTTCTAAATGGGGTCGCATTTGCCGATTTCTCATTGCTGAGGGTCTTCTGGACAAAAAGTACATAATTGAACCTCTGGAGGCTAAAAAGGAAGATCTTCTAGTGGTATCAATCTTTTGTTCATGACGTGGTCTTTGTTTTGTTCCTTTTGCCTAAGGACCTTCCGAGTTAATGAACTACGTAGTTATGATTTTTATATAGTTTTTTCTGTGTTTTTAGATGGTGATGTTTCACTATAAACCAGCTGTTTAGACCTAACTCTAGTATGTCAGTATAGGCTATCAGTTGCTCCCTACTCCTAAGTCGAGGCTGACAGGGTTGTTTGTATAACCCGTGCTAGAAGTTCCCAAACTGATTTGCTTGGATGTTTCAAACAAAAATTAGGTTTCTTCTCGGTAGTACTATGTTACAGTACGGTAAAAAAGATTATGTTAACCCCATAGTTTCTAAAAATAAATAATGCTGGCCGTGCCTCCTTGAGACGTTGCAGCAATTCATGATGCAAAGTCAACATTTTGGACCTTCCATACACTATTTGATGTGTAATCGTCATGGATTTAGCAGTATTCATAGGGAATTCAAGAATTTACGAGAAAATGTTATTGGTTATTTTACTTATTGGCATTTGATGCATTTGAAGTACTGGTCCCTTAAGTGCTAATTTAGTTTATTATGTTCTGACTTGTTTCTTGTTACACACACAGTGCTGTAAACGAACCGAACCGAACCGAACCGAGCTTGGGCTGTTCGAGCTCGTGTTCGTTTACGTTCGAACATTGTTCGTGTTCGTTCGTTTATTTTTCGAGCAAAAAATCGTGTTCGAGCTCGTTCGTTTAATTGTTCGTGAAAGTTCGAGTTTGTTCGTGTTCGAATAATTTAATACATAAACTTTTTAAATATGTTTGATTAACTCAAAATTTGTTCATTCGAACTCGTTCGAACTCTAAAATAAAAAGTAAAATAACCATACTTTTATATTTTATATTTTTATTAAAAATATTATGTAAATATATAAAAATAAAATAAAATTATATTAAATTAATGTTTTGCGAACATTATCGAACGTCGCGAACGAGCTTGTGTTCGTTCGATTATTAAACGAGCCTAATTTTCTGTTCAAACTCGGCTCGATTAACAAACGAACGAGCTTTTGTCGACACGAACGAGCTCGAACGAGCTTTGTTCGCGAACGTTCGGTTCGTTTACAGCTCTACTTGACACACTTAATAGTGTCCGTTTGGTTGCTAAATTTCATGTTTTGTACTTGATGGTAGGTGCATTCAGAGACATACCTGGCCAGTTTAAAAGGCAGCTTTAATGTGGCCACAATAGTTGAGGTATATATCTGAGTTTTCTCCAAATATTTTTAAGTTGAAAAGATGAACATTTCATCGTGTTTCCTTTGTAATTTTATCAATCAATTTGTCATGTCATGTTGGAATATTTAATTTCCGAACAATCACTTTTGGTTGCATTTAGGTCCCTCCAGTTGCTTTAGTGCCGAACTGTCTTGTGGATAAACATGTTCTCTACCCATTCCGCAAGCAAGTTGAGTCGAAAGATGTGAATCTTTCTTTATGTTTGTCTTTGGAATTATTTTGCTAATACTGCACTGGTTGTAGGTTGGGGGCTCGATTTTGGCTGCCAAACTAGCAAAGGAACGAGGATGGGCTATCAATATTGGTGGTGGATTTCATCATTGCTCAGCAGAAAAAGGAGGAGGCTTTTGTGTTTACGCGGACATATCTCTCTGCATTTACTTTGCCTTTAGCCGTTTGAATATTTCAAGGTATTTAAGGATGCAATTCATTTTTGGGACATTGATCTAAGTTGAACCTTAAATATGAATCTATGATTTATTTCTTGTGCTCACCCTTTATGATATACACGTAGGGTGATGATAATTGATCTTGACGCGCACCAAGGGAACGGACATGAAAAGGATTTCTCTGATGACAGTACTAAAATCTTCCTTTCTTCATAAACTTATCCAGTATTTATACAGTGCAGCCTTTTATGTGGACTTGTTTTTAGTCTTTACAGCAATTTGCTATTTATTTTGTTTGTGCAGGAAGAGTCTACATTCTTGACATGTATAATCCAGATATATATCCTTTTGTAAGTGACCTAATATTATATTTAGTATGGGCCTTTCTCTCTATTTGAATTTAAGGGGATGGTGAGAATATAGAAAATAAATCTTCTGCTCCTATACCTTTTATGCTACGACTTATATTCTCTCTTTTCAACTGGAACCCTCCTAACTGTTTGTTTTTCTTTAGATATCAACAAAAAATAAATGTTCAATGAGTAGAAACATTGACACATTTCCACCACTGATTGACTTTGTTTCCTTCATACTTTTGTGAAGGATTATGAGGCTAGGAGATATATCAATCAGAAAGTTGAAGTAGCAGTAAGAACAATATTTTTCTTTAATTGTGATAAAGTATATTTGTTTACTATTTCTAATGCATTTATTACTTTTTCCTTTTTCAATTTCTCCATCGTACAGAGTGGAACGACCACCAGTGAATATCTATCCAGACTTGAGGGTGCACTCAAGGTTAATAATGCTGTTATGAGAAAGCTGATCTTATTGGATTGTTCTGAATTATTGTAGATTGTCTATTTTCTGCCTTCCATCAGGATGTAGACTAGTTTTTATATTTATTGAACAATGTAGGTTGCTGCTGATGCATTTTACCCTGAATTGATCATTTACAATGCTGGAACTGACATTTTAGATGGAGATCCTCTGGGTAGGTTGAAGGTAAGCCTTTGATTGATTAACTTACCAATTTATGATTTTGTCTCTTTGATCATGAGTATGATCTCTCTCTCTCTCTCTCTCTCATTATTTCTTTCGCATCTGTAATCCTGGGATTTAAAATTTAATTGTCATGATCTCTCTCTCTCATTATTTCTTTCGCATCTGTAATCCTGGGATTTAAAATTTAATTGTCATATAATTTTGGTTTAAAGATGATTCTATGAATATACAGGACCAAAACAGAATGTAGTTTGAGTGATTTGGATATTAGCAATTTAAGACCGTTTTTTTGGTTTGTTTTGAACATGATTGGTGTAGGTTTGTTAGATGGTTCATTTACGTTATGTTATCATACAATTCACATTTTGTCATACAGTTGTTATCATTCATCTGAAATTAACAAAAACCTATCTTGTTGAAGACGATGTATCAGTAAAATGATGAAAGCCGTAGTAGGAGTGAAGGTACAGACATCTTACTGTCAATTATGCAAAAAAATAAAATAAATTGTACAGATAAGCTCTGATGGGATTGCCAAAAGAGACGAGAAAGTTTTCGTATTTGCTCGTGAGAGGGAAATTCCGCTTGTCATGCTCACATCAGGTTTTATTCTTTTGGTGGAGTTTTCACCTTGCCATCATATGCAAAATAATGGTGCATTTCATTAGGTTTTGTTTTTCAGGTGGTTACATGAAATCTAGCGCTAAAGTGATAGCCGACTCAATCGTGAATTTGTCCAAGAAATCTTTAATTACTTTGGAAAGCATACAGAAATAACAAACGGACATCCTTTTCTGTCTCCTTTTGGAGAACTTGAAGCTAGGTTATTACTTGGAGTTGGGAGAGAGAGAGAGAGAGAGAGAGAGAGAGAGAGAAAGAGAGAGAGAGAGAGAGAGAGAGAGAGAGAGAGAGAGAGAGAGAGAACATTATGTACAAGTGAGTATAACTAACAAAAACTGTATGTATGGGTTGGTGGTGCACATGTACACTTTATTTTTGTAGATGAAAATTCAATTTAAAACCAAAATATAGTATTTGGGTGTATGTCATGATGTTTGCCCTCTCTATCAATATCTCAGAAAGTTGTGTCACAAGTTTGATATTGTCGGCAGATTCTTTTGGTATTATAGCATATGTGTCGAGTAGCCACTTTTTCTTTAGATGAAATAATTTGTGAAAGCCAGAATAGAAATAGTGTGACTTGCAGTGGGGGACCATTTTTGGAGCCTTTATAAACCAACTCTGACTTTTAAGTTAAACTTTAAAGGACTTCTAGCTTTGAAATTAAAATATTATTCCACAAGTTTGGAGTTCCTAATGAAATTTGTTGGTGAGTGTATTAGTCAATCTCTGGAAATTAATCTCTCTTAGCCGGTCACGTTTCCGTCTTATGAAGGAAAATGTACGGAGCTCACATGCATATGCATTATTACTTCGTAAATATTTTTTGATTACACGTGAAAGTCGAGTAACAAAGACTACGTGTAATATAAGAGCTTCTATTTGATAGAAAGTTTTGAACAAATTTAAAAATACAAACTTGTAACGTTTGCTATTTATTAAGGTTTGTATACAAACCGGGTTTGTGTTTTCAAACCTCAACCAAATATCATGTGGAGCTCATTAAAAGTGAATAAATATAGTTTTATAGTGAATTGTTATTTAATATATAAAAGTATGATATTAAAATAGAGTAAGTGTTAAACATGTGAGACCATTAAAAGAGTTTTATGGATATTTGAGGTTTTTGGTTATAGGAGTAAAAATAAAGTTTTGAATAATGTGGTACATTGAGAATATAAAAAAAAAAGTCTGTGGAGAACTTTTGGAAGTAAGGACAGATGAACAAAGAAAGAATCCTTGAGAAATTCTAAACAAAATACACTCGCAATATAAACAATACAAAAATGCTAAGATGGTGTACACAATTTTATTTTATAAAAAGAGAGTAATCTTAAGAAACTAATATTTTAATGTAAGATTAAATTATTTGATATATGAATGATTATTTCCTTGTTTTTTCTTTAAACGACATTTAATATTAAGTCGGATATCATATTAACATGTACTCACCGTGGGCATTTGAGTATTTCTCTTAATATTAAATAGTATGAGAGTTTTGTTTTCAAGTTACATCAAAATTTAGAGAAATCCCAACCAACAAAATATCTAAAAGATGCTAGACAGCTGTTGGGGGCTAGCGCTTAGCCCGAATTTAGACAAAATACTAATTATATTTATAATCATTTATAACTTATAAAATATATTTCATGATATATTATAATCGGTATGATTAAGTACAATTGTTTTTAAAAATATTATATACTTATAATTGTTAATTAATTTTTATAATTATTATTTTTTAATTTTATAATTATTGTACATTTCATGTGTAAAAATCAAAATCTATTTTTATTTTTAAAAAGTAAATATAAAAAAATATACGGACCTAATCAATCTAGACATCAATTGTCCGAGCACCGCCTAGAAAAAAATGAGTGCAAAACATATCCGATATAGGCCGCCAATGAAAATTGAACCAACATGTTTTGGAGTATACTCTAATGTATTTACAGAAATAACAGAAAAGATGGTTTCATTATTCTCTTTAATTAATTAATAATTGCACTACACATGATGTATCGCTTCTTCACTTGATTTATTTACGTTAAACGGCTTCTCTAATTAAATTCTAAACAACACTTGAAAATCCATCTGATTTTATAATTATTCTTCTACAGTCTCCACCACACTCTCTCTCTCTCTCTCTCTCTCAGTGCGAAGTAGTACTATCATCTCTACACTACACCTGCGGTACGCCACAAAACCGACACTTGCCGGCCTGTATCCTTGACGTGCGCCGGGGCCTGCATATCGTGCGCCGCCGGCGCGCAGTTGCCAAATGAGTAAATCATTGGCCGCCCTTCTATTGCTCTTTGCGGCTCTTGCCGCCACGACTGCTTTGGAAGATTCGAAGTTGTCCGAAGGCAGAGCCGCCAATGCAACCGACATCGACTCCAATGGGAATAAGACTACCCAGAAAGAGGATACCTTCGCTGATATGATCGATCGCGCTCTTGAGAAGGAGTTCACGGAGAATGAGGATCAGAACCAAGGTTTTTTCGGATCTCGGTTCTCTGCTGTTTATTGAATTCTTGCTCATTTTTTATGTGGATCAGTGATTGATTAGGGTTCGGTTTGGGGTTTATTTGGTGCGGTGAGGCTTTAGGGACGTGCTGTTTGTCCAGATTTATTTTTTGACGGCATATATACTACTTTTTTTCTTACAACTTTTGTGATCAAGGTTTTGTATGGGGGGTTTTATCTGGGGAAACTCTCCTTTGAGCTCTTCTGGAACTGAATTGATATCTTTTAATCCAATATCATTTCTATTTGGGGTTTCTATTTGGAAGAAGTATTTTTTAGGCAAGGCTTTCATTGGCTTGAGATGCCAATGCTGGGCTTTGTTGAATGATTATTTTTTTTTGGCAATCTATAAATCTAACATGACTCCTTTCAAAGTTTCATTCTGGCTTTTCCATTCCGAATTGTTTGGCATCTGTAGGCATCTGTGTGTTATTGTTATGGTTGCATATGGAAACAATTTGATTTGTTGCTTTAAGTTTGACGAACAAAAGTATTCTCCGTTGATCATGTCTAAAATTGAAACTTTCAATTGAAATGGCAGCGAATGATGCTGGTAGCTTCAACAATAGTGTTGCTGAGCAGCAGGTTTGTGATTTTGCTTCTTGCTAGAAGTTAAATAGTTCTATTTATGCGATTTATTATGGAATGTATAACATGTTTATGAGGGAGGTAATGCACTCTAGGATTCAACCTTCTTGTATTTGTGTTCTGAAAGTAAATTGTGGGATAATGTGTCCAGAAGAAAAGGCAAAGATTCTTTGTTGTGGTGTGTGATATCAAAATTTCTGCTATATTCTTAGCTTACTCTGTTTTTCTTGATAAGGCTGTATTGGAAACTGTAGCTAGAGTCAAGTCTAAGAAAAATGAGACAAAGGAGGAAAAGTAAGTATTTGCACTATCACTGGTACACTCGCTAATGTGTTTTCTTTCTTTTCTATTCACATGTTATCTTGTTCTCATCGTAATTATAGGTCCTTTAAACTTCATCAAGTCTTCAATCTGGACAATGACAATGGGGCCGAAGAGATTCCGACATTGATTGATAGAAAGGTAACATAATTTTTCTACTTCGTTGTTTGAGTTATATTTTGAAATAATTTCCTTTTTTTTTTCTCCCCTAAATTGTTATCTTTTAGAAGAACAAAATTGAACTAGGGAAAGGAAAGTGACTGAGTTCCTTACCACACAGGTTACACTGTATCATTGTTTCAAGTAATGTTTATGTATGTGCAGGATAATGTGTTTATTATATCAAATTTCAAATCCAAATATCCAGTGCTGCAGTTAGACTTGAGGTAAGCTTGAGGTTTATTATGACATTTTGTCTCATCTCCTTTTGTTTCTGGATTACTCTACATGGTGATTTTGCAGGCTCATATCGGATCTGGTTGTTGTTATTGTCTCTGCAACATGTGGTGGAATTGCTTTTGCTTGTGCTGGACAACCGGTTTGATTTCTAACCTTGGTCTGTGCTCTGTGTTTTTTTAACACTTTATTTTCTAATTGATAACACACTGTGCAGGTTATTACCGGATACTTACTAGCAGGGTCAGTTGTAGGACCTGGAGGTTTTAACGTTATCAGTGAAATGGTGCAAGTACGTAGCAATAGAAATATTAAATAAATATGGTCCTTCCAGTTTCTGACATATGAATATAAAATGCCCAGGTAAATTGATTTTGGCAAAATTAAATTTCTCGTGATCCTAGTGTAACTTATGCATGTAGGTTGAAACAGTGGCTCAGTTCGGTGTGATTTTCCTTCTCTTTGCTCTGGGCCTGGAATTCTCCACAACAAAGGTTAGCTGGTTTTATATGCTGCTCTGTAGTGCGGATTAATCCTCTTTCCCCGTGTATATGAAACCAAATGCTTATTTCTGCATATGCTAATTCTCTCTCTTATATTACAGCTTAGAGTTGTTCGTGCAGTTGCTGTTCTTGGAGGGTTACTCCAAATTCTCCTTTTTATGTGCTTGTGTGGAATTATAGCTTCGGTATGTTCATTGAATGTGTATATATTTTCAAGTTACATGCAAAATCTTGAAAAGCTTGCCTCAGCTGTAGCAGGCTCATGAAGTTGATAACATGTCAACTATGGCTGTGATACAGACCATCCAAATTATCCTATGAGTGTATAAGTTTTGCAATATAAAGACTGATGAAGTTGCTTGTTCTTCGAACCCTGTGATTCTTATTTAGTTCTGAAAGACCTATCGTGCAAAAGTGGCTCCTAATAGTAGATTAGCAGTTAGAATGATGCTTTTGACTCTGATTAAACTGGTCAATGAGGTTGTGGTACAAATTGTAGTTGTCTGATAAAGCTGCTGTGTACTTAGTTAACCTATAAGAGTAACAATACTTTAGTTGACCTGGAATAAAATTATGGTAACCAGCTTGTAGAGTTTACTCTCAATTTTACTCTAAAATGAGTCCTCATGTAGTTTCGAGAGAGTAGAAAGACTTCATAAACTATGCCTAGGTTGGGCATGGGAGGAGTATAGTAGTATACGAGCTCCTTAATTTGGCCCTTTCTGATAGAAGGAAGAGTACACTAAAATAGTTAATAAATATGAAACTGAATTTGATTGAATAGTTCTGAGATGATAAAAGTCGCAAAGAACCCGGGAAGAATTCCTATCAGATACTTGTCTGCCCAAGCCAAAAAGGCTTAATACAAAAGATTTTTCTTGGTCATTGTGCATCCCAATCCCTTTATCTATATCAAAGCATTCTTATTTCTATCGCTCTAATATTTCTCAGTCAAATAGTTTCCTTGATCTTGCTAATCAATATCTCCTCCAGATCTACCTATCAATCAGTTCTTTCTCAAGTAATTTCTCTAATTACTTGGCTACTAATTATATATCTTCTTAGCTCTATCAAAGGCTGTTAGGTTATATTTTTAATTACAGTCCTTGTTTTATGTACTGTAATCATAAAGCTGAAGTTTTAATTTAAAAAGAAAGGGGTGAGATAGCATGCTGTGAGTTTGTCATTTCATGGGAAGCTTATGCAAGATGAATTCTCTTTTGTAATAATAATCCCATAATTCATTGCTTAACTGGACAATATGTTGATAGTACATGCTATTGCAGAAAATAAAAGTTGGAGTATAAGGTATAAGTAAATAGTTAATATTACAGAAAAATTGACAGCTTAATCATATCTACTTAACTAAGGTTTATATTTCAGTTTCAGTTTGTATGCTGCATGCTTTTTCTCTTGCCTATGCATTAAGAAATAGATAGCCATCCAATGGGGTTAGTTACAATTAGAAGCCATTTCTGTAATTTTTACTTCCGGATTTGCAGTTATGTGGTGGTAGATCTTCTGAGGGTGTATTTGTTGGTGCCTTTCTCTCGATGTCCTCTACAGCAGTGGTAAGCTCTCAACATTTTTCACTTGGCCGATGATTTGCTGCCTTACGATTTCCAGAAATTTTACACTTATCACGATGACTTTCTGAAGGTATATAAGTTTTTGATGGAGAAGAACAGTACTAATGCGCTTCATGGTCAGGTGACTATTGGCACTCTGATTTTACAGGTAATTTCGGACGTGTCTTTTCTTGTGCGACTCTTTTATTGCAGATTGCAGTTGAACAAACAATTTTTTGTTTTCAAATCCTCTGTTGAAATAACTCATGTCCTGTTCCTTCATTTGTCTCACTTTTAAGAAAAAAAAAATTATAATTATGATATTGAAGATGGATTTCATTATCTTGTAGCAATTGAAAATTTAAAGGCTATATTTTGCTATTTTTGCATATACCGACTTGTTATTTAAATTCTATCTATTTTTCCTGGAAAGCATCATGTTATGGTGAAAATTTGCTGAACTAAAATTTCAGGACTGTGCTGTGGGGCTATTGTTTGCTCTACTTCCAGTTCTGGGTGGAACTTCTGGTATTATGCAAGGCGTAATATCCATGACAAAATCGTAAGTTCAATCTTACTCCTTTCGCACTACTACAAGCTGGATTTTCTTGAAAAGGGTGAACCTCCATCTTTGCTTTTTCCAGAATATTTAGAATGCATGCTGATTAATGTGTTACCAGGTTGGTGGTGTTGATTGCTTTCTTGGCAGTTTTAACGATATTGTCACGTACATGTGTACCCTGGTGCCTAAAACTTATGATAAGCTTGTCATCCCAGGTACAAAAGAGGCGCAATGCCGTCCCTCACTCCTCCCACCCCTCCCAAAGGAAAAAAGAAAGAAAAGAAAAGTTATCTCTTTCAGTTCCGTCCATTTTTAGTTCGTTATTTTTTTAGGTTTAGATAATTCTGTCATCATGAATATGCTGCATATCAGATGTGTGTACCAGTTCAATTGGTCAAGCTTATGTGAATTTTGTGTATCATTTTTCAGACTAATGAGCTTTATCAATTGGCGTCAGTGGCTTTTTGCCTACTTGTAGCCTGGGTTAGTTTTTTTTCTTTCTGCACATATTGAATTTGACTTCACTTTCAACATGCATACCTATATTGTGTTCATATACATTAACATTTTCAAGATTGTTCAGTTTGCCTTTCTTCCTTTTGATATCCCATATCTTGAGGCGCATTTACACAAATAGGACAACTCCTTGTCAATATTTGTTATTTCAACTCCTTTTCCTTTAGAATGATCTCAACTGATTGTACCAGTATTTACTGTCTGGTATGGTTTCAGTGTAGTGACAAGCTCGGTCTTAGTTTAGAGTTGGGTTCATTTGCTGCTGGAGTTATGATAGCAACGACTGATCTTGCTCAACACACGCATGAACAAGTAAGATAACTTTAGAAACTTCCTTTCCGTTATTGGAGAAATTCAACACTTGTTTATATGTGCATTGATATTTGCATTTTAGAATTGTTTCTACACATTGTCATTGTGGCAGTTTATGTTTCACGACTATTTGACGAGTTTTTGCTACTTTGCAGGTTGAACCTATTCGCAACATGTTTGCAGCTCTCTTTTTGGCTAGCATTGGGATGCTGATCCATGTTCATTTTCTGTGGAACCATGTTGATATCTTGCTTGCATCAGTTATATTAGTGGTTGTCGTTAAGACACTAGTAATTTCTGGTGTTGTCAAGGGCTTCGGCTACAACAATAAAACTTCACTTCTTGTAAGATGTTACCTTCGTTTATGTAGCTCATGATAATATTTCTTTTGCCTTTGTTCTATAGCGCATGTTCAGTTTTCTTTTCGTGAAATGAACTAACAATGTAGCCCTGATCCTTGAGCCATGAAGGTTGGGATGTCTTTGGCACAAATAGGGGAATTTGCCTTTGTACTGCTTAGTCGTGCCTCAAATCTTCATCTTGTTGAGGTAAGTCCTGTGCTTTTAGCTTCACTTATTGCTCTGTCGACTCTATATAGGAAGCACATCTATATTTTTGAGATTCTTTTTTTTTTTTTCATATTTCGTGTGTATGTGCAGTTGTGTTGAGAAAATTGATTTTGTTATTATTTTTCTTCTTTCACAGGGGAAAGTGTACCTGCTACTTCTTGGAACGACAGCTCTGAGTCTGGTAAAGAAATAATGTCTTGCTCTAGTTTAGTTTTGTCAGCGCTAGTGACAAAAACTATATCTGGAATGTAGGCTAATGATGAGAATTTCAATCATATTTGAAATTACAAAATCCTGTGGATAGTTTTTATTATTATCCCTACTCAGTATGTGTGTGCGTGCTCATATGTACGTCACATGCCAATTGTATAATCAGTTGTGATATTACAGTTGTATGAACTTAAGCAGATACTTGAGCCTGAAATTGACTGGTTTCTTATTCATATATATATATACATATATATATCTTCCATTAGTTAAATTTTTCTTTTACTTTTAAAGAGGTAATATTTACATTCAAAGTTTTACAGGTAACTACCCCATTGCTTTTCAAGTTAATACCAGCAGTTTTGCACCTTGGCATATTGTTACGTTGGTTCTCACCTGACAGTCCAACTGAGGTAATCACTTATATGACCTTTGCACCATCTACATTTATTTCCTTGCTATATAAGATACTAGTTAGTTATAACCACCTATGAGGACCGGTCTAAATAATCCCAAAAAAGATCCAACTCTGTTGAACAGCCTTGAATTTCACCTTGAATGGGGATGTCTCTAATTTTGAAATATGATTTAAGTTTTGGCGGTATTATTTTTATGATTGACAATACAACTATACTCATTTGCCGAGTTATTCATTGAAAATGATTGTTTGCCTCCAGCTTGGATTTAAAGGAGATGGTCTCAGATCGGAGAGTACTAAGCAGAGAATTGGTTTGATATCCAAGGATCTTTTGATACATGAAGGATGATGATTAAGGTCAGTTGTAATGACTCCACTTATGTTACCTTGGAAAATAGAGACCTTATATCCAGCCGTTATGCGAGATGAGTGAATTTTTTTCAATTAGTTTCTGTTAACCAAATTAGTGAAAGACAAGGTGATGGTACGAGCATCAAATTCAGACTCTAGGAAGTAATCTAACTGGTAGAGATACTAACAATTGAAGCACTTTT